CAACCACAGAAGATGCCCTCCCAGAGCCCCTGCCCAAAATCTAACCCCTTCCTGATCTTTAGGGACTTTCTTCCAGGAAGTCTTCCCAGAACTCAGGGAGCCTCCACGCAGAGGGACTGTTCCTTGCTCCCACACTCCCGAAGCCGACTGAGCCTCTGCCCTCAGACCTGGGCTCCTGGGAGACAGGGGACTCCCTGAAGTCAGGGCTACGCCTCCCTCAGACCAGGATACTGATGGCAGAGACTTTCTTCTCACTATGACGAGGGACTCCCTGAGGACAGGGCCACTACACTCTCCTTCCTTCAGATTAGGAAGTACCGAGGGTGGGACGCCCACCTCACTCCTGCCGCACGCCCACCCACACAGCCGCCCACCCAGAGAACGCTCGGCACCCATGGCACAAGCAGGACCCCTCCTCCTCTCTCTCTCCCTCCTGGCAGTCCTCCAGGCCTGGCCCGTACCAGGCAGCCTCCTCCCCTCCCCCGGGCCCTGGCCATGAATCCCACCTCTGTTGGGCACCACAGACCCCACTTTCTCCTCCCCAAACAAATGGGGTCTTGAGTAAGCCACTGGGACCGCACACAAGGCCAGATCTATTCCCAGGGCTAATGTCGCTGCCAGCAGGGGGCCAGGGGGCAGGGAGGGGGGGAGCCAGGCTGCGAGGAGCAGGCTGTCCCGGCCACAGCCTCTCTTAAGGCCCAGCCTCCAAAATCAGGGCCAGGGCTCTCTCAGCTATGTCCTGGTGGGGCTACAATCAACAGCCCACTCCCTGGATAACATCAGAGCAGGCCCACCCCGGACACCCGCATCATGCCTGCCCTGGCCCGACACGATGCCAGCAGGAGCCTCTGAGCCCAGGTCCAAATCCCTGCTCTGTGCCCTATGGAGAATCTCCCCCAACCTGAGTCAGGTCATCTGTAAAATGGGCACAACAACCCCTTTCCACCCGGGCTGATGCGACTGCGGAGGGGGACAGACAGGAAGGGCCATGGCCAGTGCTCAAAGGAAAACGAGGCTCCTTCTTTCTTTGATTTTTCTCTTTTTAGGGGGTGGCATGGGCAGAGGGGAGAGCACAGGCTGGCAGGGCAGAAGACGGCCCTTTCCAAGCGCTTGAAATGTCTCCTATTCAGAAGTGAGAAGTGCATCCCTCAGGAATGAGCAGCGGGGCCTCCCAGCACTGGGGTGATTCAGCAGTGGCTGTTTTTCTACCCCGAGGAGAGGGCCTTGGAGTCAAGCCTGCAAATCGAAGCTCAAAGCCCACTGCCTCCCAAAAGCCTATCTAGATAAACCAGGATATCATCTCCATTTTACAAACAAGTAAACTGAGAACACAGAGTGGTTAAGTAATGGGCCTAAGGGCACACAGCTAGTGAGCAGCAGCTGAACTGATCGCTTCTGACAATTCAGGCTGCTACGGAAAGCTCTTCCTTACGGCCGGAGCCTCCCCACGTCGGAGCCTCTCTGCTGATCTTGCCTCTGCAAGTTCAGAGTGAAGTCCAAACTCTCTAGCTTGAAAGCCCAGGTCCCCAGCAAGGTAGCGAAGCGCAGCAGAAAAAGCACTGAACCCAGAGTCAGCCCAGTTGGGGCTCAGAAGCCACCTACTTTCTGCTGTGCAGCAACGGCCACTTTACCAGGCCTCCCGGGCCTCACTTTCCTTGTGGGATAAATGGGAACAACAAGACTGGCGTTCCAAGGTGGCTGGTAGGGTTACCCACCACATATTTATTTAACACATACTATGGGCCAGGCCCCCTTCGAGGCATTTGGGATAGAGCAGGGTACATGACAGGAAAAGGTCCTGCCTTCATGAGGTGACACGTAGCAGTGGTGGCAAGGCAGATGATAAATAAGCAAATAAAAATGGCATCAGGTTATGCTAGGGGCTAAAGGAAACACAGAGAAGGAAGAGACCCAGAGCCACAAATAGAGCGGTCAGAAAGGGTCTCCCTGGGGAACTGGGGACAGCCCTGTAACCAGCCCGGGGAGCAGCAGTAAGCACAGGAGGGACAGCCGCTCTTGCAGAAGGAACAGCTAGTGTGAAGGCCGAGGAATTCAGCGAGACTCAGAGCCTGGGGGAAGCGCCCAGCACCCCCCCCCCCACAGAAGCTCCAGAAAGAGCAGCTGGTGGTGTTAACTGCTATAAAGGCGCCTTGCGAGCTCCTTGCGCCCTGCCTTCCCCCTCTGGGAAATGGGATGCTGTGCAGATTCCAGGGAAGCCTGTCTGCTCCACTCACCCCCAATTCATTTTTATTCCTCCCATTTTGCAGGTGGGGAAGCTGAGGCTCCCCAGACCCCACAGCCCATAAACGGTAACATGAAGATGGGAACCAGGGTCTCATAATCCCAAACCCTATGTCCTGCCGGCCTCCTGGGGCCTCACGGGTCCCAGAGCACTCACACACTCACTCCCTCTCCCCTGGGTTACCCCAAGACCATGCTGACTGTCAGAAAGTCTCTTGAGATGAACAGATGTCTGGGCCTTGTTGGCCCCCTTCTGCCATCTGGAGCCACACAGGACAGCCCCCTCCACCCCACCCCCACCCCCCACCCCCTCCCCCCTCCCACCCCCCCTCCCCCACCCAGCTTCCTGCAGGTCACTGGCAAGGTAGGGAAGGGCTCATGGGTTCAAAAGAGCAGCTGCTGCTCCAGGAAGCCCCTCCCAGGCGGCAGACCCTGTGCTCACATGGGCAGAGTCAAGTGGAGTCTCATCGCATCCATCGCAATCCATCGTACAAATACAAAAACTGAGGCTCTGAAAGAGAAGAACCGGGCCTGGGGCCACCCACCTGGAGAGCGGCAGAGGCTCTGAACTCAGGTCTGAACTCAGAAAAAGAGTCCTGCTGCCACTCACTCTCCAAATCAAATATCCTCAAAGTCCCCTTTGGGCATTCTTTTCCTTCCATCATCTGGCCTGTCCCCTGGTAGTGGGAAGGGCTGGCCCTGAGTCCAACTCTCCCAGGACACTACCAGCCACTCGCCAGGCACATTGCACCCAGGCCGGGGTTGGCCGAGCAGGCTCAGGATGCTCAGACCCTGTGAAGGAAGCCAGGAGACCCCCGAGTGAGGTGCTCCTGCAGGCCCCTGGAGCAAGCAGCCAGGGAGTGTCCAACCAGCACACCTGGTTCTATACTGGCTCAGCACCCAAGGTGCTGCATGACTGTCAGGAGGGCCTTCTCTCCAGCCTTGCTTCCTTACCATCGGGTCACTTCCTCTGGGGCTCAAGGGTCAACAGGAAGGGAGCAGCAAAGCAGATCACCAGCAAGAAGTCACCTCTGTCCTCCCCCAGGCAAGTCAAAAAATCATTTTTCAAAGTAATTATGATGGTGGTGGTGGCTGACACCTATGGAGAGTCTACTACGTGCCAGGAGCCACACCGGGACCATCACACACATTATCCCGAGTGCCAGCAAGCCCCCAATGCATGTGCATCACCTGCATTTTACAGTCTGGGAAACTGAGGCACAGGACCGTAACAGCTGTAAGCACCGGAGTCAGGATTCAAACCCAGGACTCTGCTGTTCCATGCTGCTTCCTACTGGAATTATTTAAGTGAACTGTTTGCTTAGGCAAAGTACCTAGGGCCCCGAGGGAAGACAGAGATAACTCTCAGTGGGTGGTCACAGAGAGGCAGGCTCCCCGGGGAGGAATCAGGACTGGGGAGCTAGACATCTGGGGAGGCAGGGGCCCAGAGGTCCAATCCCAGCCTCAGTGCATGCCTGCTGTGTGACTGTGGGCAAGGTACCTCCCCTGTCTCAAAGGCAGGTGTCAAAGCCCGGTATCCCGGGGCACACCAAGCCTGAGGGCAGGGGACGAAGTCACTTGGGGCCAAGGAGAGAACAAGCATCTAGATGGGGGACTTGTAGACTCAAAGGCCCTGAGGAGGCTCCAGGCTCCAGGAGGCAGAGGTGGGGAGACTGGTGCGGAAGTGGGAGGGAATAAGAGGCAAGACGGGGTCTTGGGAGGGCCCTGTACAGTAGCAGGGTCCCCAGTCTGGCCCCAGGGACAGACAGGATGAGCATGGAAGGGACAGGCACAGCTCAGCTCCACCCAGCATGCCTTGCTCCCCAGGGACCCCACTTAACCCCGGCCGGCAACCCCAAGTCCACCCCAAGTCCACGCCGCAGCCCCTCCCCTCCCTGCCTCACCCCCACCAGCCCCCCCCACTCTCTCCCTGCGCGGCCCCCCTAGGGCACCCACCACCAGCCCTTCCCTGGGGCTGTCAACACCTCAGCAGCCACAGCCCCTCCACGTGGGGACCACCGCGCCCTGGAGACGGCATCTCCCTCTCCTTAGCAACCACCAACACCCAGGCCCAGACAGCCAGCCTCCTCCCTTGTCTCCTCCTCTCTCCATGGAGACCACAATGCCACAGAGGCGGCTCCCTCGCCAAGGCAACCACCGTCACTCAGCACCCGCCCGGACCACAGCTCCCTCCACGTGGCCACCACCAACACAGCCGCGGTGACAGTGACAGCCTCTCCTCTCCGGGGCAGCCACCAGCCCCAGCCTAGACGGAGCCGCTCCCGCCCGCCCGCCCGCCTGCCTGCAAGCCCGTGGCCTCCAGCTGCCTGACGGCTCCCCCAAGAAATTCCAGACGCTGGATCAGACCCGGTATCGATTCTGACCTGCCTGTCTGTGCTCCCAGCCCCTCAGGCTGGCCCCCGACACCCAAAAGACCCCCCCCCGCCCGAGGTTGGAAAGGAGACCACCTGGAAGCCGACCCCTGCCCCTGCCCGTGCGCAGGTGCCCCGGCCCTGCTGGGGTGCAGGCAGGCTTAGGGCAGGATTGGGCCTCCTCCCACCCACCACGGGGGGCCTGTCCCAGCCCCCGGAAAGGCCCGCCGCCCTGACAGCTGCCTCACAGCCCGGGGAAGGGATGCCCAGGAGGAGCCAGTGGGCGCCCACAGCCGGGGGCGGGCAGGGCAGGGCAGGAAGGGACTCAGGGGAGCCGGGCAGGCCATGCTCCAGCACAGGTCCCAGGCCAGGTCATGTGAGCCGGGCTCACACAGCCACACAGTCGCGCAGGGTCAGAAGGACCCTGTCCTTACCGGTGTCTGCAGGCTAAGGGGGCCCCTCCGGCCCACGAGGTCTATCCCTGGCCTGGTCTCAGGGAGGCCCTGCGCTGGCGGCGGCAGCAGGAGCAACGGGGTCTCGGTCCGGTCTGGCTCAGGCGGCAGCAGCTTCTCACCCAGGTCTTCTCCTTCTGAGGAAGCGAGGGGGAGAGAGGGGAGGGAGGGAGGGAGAGGAGAGGAGGAGAGAAGGAGGGGGAGGGGGCAGCAGGAGGGAGGGAGGAGGGAGAATGCTGAAGTCTTGAAGGGTACACTCACTTCTTTCTTAGGTTTCCCATGGCAACCGAATATACCACAAATGAATATCAGTGTGAGAGAGAGGGAGGAGGCAGAGAGAGGGGAGGGATGGAGGGAGATGGAGGCAGAGATGGAGAGAGATGGGGCAGACGAGGCAGGGAGGTGGAGAGATGGAGGCTGGGAGGTGGAGAGATGGAGGCTGGAGGTGGAGAGATGGAGGCTGGGAGACAGGGGAGGTAGAGGCTTGGAGGGGGGGAGGTGGAGGCTGGGAGACAGGGGAGGTGGAGGCTGGGAGGTGGAGAGATGGAGGCTGGGAGACGGGAGAGGTGGAGGCTGGGAGACAGGGGAGGTGGAGGCTGGGAGGTGGAGAGATGGAGCCTGGGAGACAGGGGAGGTAGAGGCTTGGAGACGGGGGAGGTGGAGGCTGGGAGACAGGAGAGGTGGAGGCTGGGAGACAGGAGATGGAGGCAGGAAGGTGGGGGAGATTGAGGCTGGGAGATGGAGGTGAAGAGATGGAGGCTGGGAGATAGAGAAGATGGAGGTGGAGAGATGGAGGTAGGGAGATGGGTGAGAGGGAGGCTGGGAGATAGAGGTAGGGAGGCAAGGAGATGGAGGCAGAAAGATGGGGAGCGGGAGGCAGGGAGATGGAGGCTGGGAGATGGGGGATGGAGACCTGGAGATAGGAGATGGAGGCTAGGGGATGGAGTCTGGGAGATGGGGGAGATGAGGTTGGAAGATGGAGAAGAGGGAGGCTGGGGGGGTAGAGTCTGGGAGATGGGGAGATGGAGGCTGGCGGAAGGGGAAGAGGGAGGCTGGCTACAGAAAGATGATGGAGAAGAGACAGAAGTCTGGGTCCCCATCCTCCCCCACAGGGTTCGGGAGTGAGGGGAGGGAAGGGGCCACAGGACTTCTTTCAAGGCCTCCAGGTTCCCGGAGGAGGGGCAGCCCACGGATAGGGAGATTCTCTGGGAGCTGAAGGGACCCCATTCCTACCACCCCACCTAGCCTAGCCCATGGTCGTAGCACCCTGCAGGGCCCCGGAGCCTGGAGGTTCTTCCCAAGTCCAGCCAGACACCCTACTCAGCAGACCCAGGTGGGGTGGCCCCCACACCCTCCCACAGCCTGTCGCCAGGTGCTCACATACACAGCCCCTCCCTCCTCACACGGCAACCACACCACCTCCCAATGGCCACCCCAACGCCAACCCCACCTAATCTTACAGCGGCAGGGAATGAGCACCCATCCCAGCCTATCATCTCTCACTGACGCTCTGGCCTGCACCCCGCCCCCCAGCGTGCCCACAGCCTGCGTCCTGCCAGCTGCAGGGCGGCCGCGTAGACTCACACGCCCTAAGGGTAACATACCTGCCTGACTTCCACCTGAACAGACACACAGACTTCCAGACAGACGTGCCTCCACCCAACCTTCCTCCATCTGGGCGCACACGTGCACACGCATACACTCATCCTCTTCCCCCAGAGGCCCCTCCTCTGTGTGGCCCCCACCCCCCACCAGCCCAGATGGCAATCCCAGCCCTGCTGCACAGGCAGGGGCTCACACCTTGGCCCCCTCCACACCGCCATTCATAAACACACGTGGCTGGCAGCTGGCCGCCTCAGAACAGAGGCACATGCGCGGGCCCCGCTCACAGGCACAGAACGAGGACCGACCAGCCGGCTCCTGGAGAGGGCTCTGGGGCCCAGGTCCCCAGGGGTACCTCCCCCCACACTTGACCCTGAGCCCCCCCACACACTATACCCTCACACACACACCAGCACCCACAGGACCCCCAGGCGCAAACAACACACCAGAATTTCACATTCCCTCCGACATACGTGTGCACATGGACGCAGATGCACTGTACACAACTGCCCACAGAACCCCGACACGGGGGCACCCCCTGGACACACAGACTCACACGCCCAGGGCCACTGCACAGACACCCGTCCACACACCCATGGAAATGCTCTGGAGCCCACTCGCCCTGGACGGCCCCCAACACACACAGGCTTCACCATACACACCCAGACAAACATGCCCACAGGCACAGGGGCCCCGACACAGCCCCACACACTGTGCCTCCACACACCAGGAACCACTCCCTAACCCACCCCCCACCCCCTGCAGACGCAGGGCCCCCACCCCCCACAGGCGCAGGGCCACTCTCCCAGGGAAGTTCTCAGGGGCGCCCCCAGCCCATCCACACCCACCTGACACACACACACACTCACCAACAAGTCGCAGGCTCTTCGGGTCGCCCCTCCGCCCCCTTCCCAGGCACGCCCCGCGGCCTGCCGCCTGCCAGCCCCTGCCCTGCACCTCGGGTTTACGATCTGTGCACCGAGCTGAGCCCAGAGGCCGTGAAATTGGCTGAGAGCGGCAAGGGATGCGGTTGCAAATTCCAAGCACAGGGAAGTAAGGCAGAAACTGGCGGGCAGCAGGCCACCGAGCTGGCGGGAGGGGGGTACTAGGGCTCCGTGTGCACCCCCGCCCACCCCGCCATCATGCATGTGCCCTGAGAGGGCTGTGCAGGTGCACCCTGGGGCCGCCCGGGACGGGCCTCTGACTGGCACTAGGGATGGACACACCCCCAGACCCGCCTGGGCCAGAGCACCCACGGGATGACAGCCCTCAGGCCCCAGCTAAGCAACTCTGCACTGTCGCCTCCAGGAGGCTTCTCCGTCCTCCTCTGGCTTCTCTGCTCCCACCTCCACCGCCTGGCAGCCTCTGGCCTCTGCTCACATGCACAACTCCAGCCTCACCTCCACCTGAGCTCTGGCACCAAAGGAAGAGAGAGGGAGGGCACGGTCTGTCCAAGATGCCAGGCAGGCTCTCTCCTGTGTCACTTCATCCCCACCGCACTTCAGGTCTTTACCAGCTGTGCAGCCTTGAACCTGTGCCCACCAACTCTTATCGCTCCCTCCTCTGTCTATACAACAGGAATGATGCAGAGAGTCGCTCTGGGGTTTTAAAGAGGGCCACTAGGGGCGCCTGGATGGCTCAGTGGTTGAGCGTCTGCCTTGGGCTCAGGATCGAGTCCCACATCAGGCTCCCTGTGTGGAGCCTGCTTCTCCCTCTGCCTCTCTCTCTCTCTCTGTGTGTCTCTCATGAATAAATAAATAAATAAAATCTTTAAAAAATAAAAATAAAGAGGGCCACTGAGCAAGCTTAGAACTGCAGTCAGTGACCGTGGAGACGACTAGTCAGTAGGGGCCTGGCCTCGCCACAGACAAGGGACCGCACTTCTGTGAGCCCAGGCTCCTCTGAAAAATGCAGGTGGTTTGCTGCCTCCCCACCTGTGTGGGAAGATCCAGAAAATGCAGCCCCCTCGGCTGCCCTCCAACCAGCAAACGTGGGTGAATTAATATTCTGGAAATGCATTGAAAATGCAGGTTCCCAGGGCACACGTCAACCTTACTGAATTAAAACCTCAGCAGCTGAGTCCCAAGAATCTGCATTTTTAACAAACACACAGAGACTCTGGTGCCCACCCCCTCGCCTGCCCCCTGACAGAAAGGCCAACACTCACTTTCTTGGCCCAAAGTTTACGTCCTATGTGACTGATCCCTCAACTACACGCCAGACTCATTTTCCCAAAATCCACTCCGGGCTTTCCGACCTCCAGACCTTGGCTCACATGGTGGTCTCTCACCTGGCCTGCCCCCACCCAGAGTCTGGCTGGACCTCTGTCACTGTCCTCCAGCCAAAATTAAACAAGATAATGGACAGTGTTGTGTCCCGTGCCTGGCTCACAGCAGGTGCACTGTCACGGGAATCCTGCCGAGCCTGAGCAGAAGTGGTCCCCAGCCTCTCCTGCCCAGATTACCAGGCTGGCTCAGCACCTGACCCGCAACCTGCAGGGCCAGCCCCCTCGAGGTGGGGTCACAGACAACCAAGAACCCCTTGTCACCCAAGCCCTACTGTGTGCAGGCCTCACGCAGGGCACTTGGCAGATGTTCCACGTGTCCCATCTCTCTTCCAAGGCAGGAACTCCTCTCTGCGAGTTCCTGCCTGAGCCCCAGACCCAGTGGTTTTATCCCTGGATTAGATATGCTAGATATGCTTGTGCACACGCGCGCGCGCGCGCGCGTGTGTGTGTGTATGTACTGAATGCGAAATGCACCAGCCAGTCCATCCTCAATAGCATGTAAATAAGAAGAACTTCTGCAAGTAAATTTTGAGGGCCTACCGGTCCATGCCTGTGTGGAGCTGCCGTACTCGTACTCGTAGGAGACAGACAGGAAATGCTAAACAAGCAGAACCATGAACCCCCTCCTCCCAGGTAATGAGAAGTACAAGAACCAAGGCAGGTGGGCTGCCAACCCCACCGCCTGCATCTCTCCACCATCCACGGAGAATTTCAAGGAGGACAAAGATGGGCCAAGGAGGGAAACTGAGTCAGGCCCGAGTCTGGGGACTGGGCCCAGAGCAGACGGGTCAGGCAGCCCTTCAGAACTGCTCCCCACCTTTCCCAGGGAGAGGTGGAGACCGGATGTGCAGGTACACACACAGAGTCACACACACACACACACACACACTCGCACACCTATACAGTCACATACACGCACAGGTGCACACAGACACACATGCCCTGCCCCCTCCCAGCCCCTCTGCACGTTCCAGCTGGGGAAGCTCCCAGCCCCTTCTCACACATCTGTGGGGCCCCCCAGCCTGGCTCTGGAAACATTTTCTATGTATTTTAGGGGGTGAACACAGAAGCTGGAAGCAGAGGGAGGGATACATACATACACACACATACACACACACAGCCCAGGACCCACTCCAGAGAACCAGGCATGAATAAGGGAGACAGATGGGAAGGGGGAGGGAACTCATCTAATTGACACCTACTATGTGCCAGACACAATGCTCCACACTTGACATTCTCTTATGTAACCACACTGGAAAAGTTAGGAACCCGGCATCATTATCCCTACTCTATATTGAGGAAGCAGGGCTTCTGGAAGAAAACTTACTCTCCCAAGACACACACAGTTAAAAAGAGGCAGAATTTGGACCCTGGGGCCCTACTCTTTCCGAGAGTGAGACAGGGGGAGGATATGGCCAAGTGGCCCAGGGGGGACCACAGCTGAGACAGTAACAACCTTGAAGCCTGGGGAAGATACTGATCTGGGAGCAGCATCCCTTTCATCACCCAGGGGACGCCCCTACAGAGGACCCACTGTGTGCCGGTGCTGTGCTCGGTGCCACGGGGATGCACAAGAGAGTGTGCTGCTGTCAACAGGGATGTCACAGGTCACCTGGTGGGGGAGGGGCACAGAGGAGGGTGGGACAGGCCTGAGGCTCCCCGCCTCTCTGTCCCTGCAGCCACTGCCACACCCACTGCTTCTCCTGCTGATAGATGAGCAAGGCAAGGCCCAGAGGGGTCCCTCAGTGAGGAACACCCCGAGATGGAAAGGACCCCTGGCAAAGGAGTTCATCGATTCACAGTGCTGATCTGATATGGGACTTCCAGTCCTGGCTCCACTGCTGTGTGGCCCTAAGCTGGTCTGTAACCTCTCTGTTTCTTGTGTGGGAAATGGGGAGTAAGAATAGCTGTGCTGCAGAAGGTTCTGCGGGATTAAACACTTACAAAGAGCTTCATCCCGGGCCTGGCTCTCAGGCTCAATGAATATTAGCTAATATCATGATTATTATTGTCACTGTAATTATTGCTGCCAGCGGCACCATGCAGCCTCAGCTTGCCCAGGTGGCTCCCTAGCCCTCAGAGCCTCTCTGGGGCCTCCCTGGGGACTGTTTGCAGAGCAGAGGGGGAGGGGCTCTATTATTCCAACCCCCAGTCACTCCCCCCACCCCACCAGGACTAGGGGCCTCCCAGTAATAGGTAATAATGGCAGTGACTCTGCCCCAGGTGCTAATTGAGCCACAAGAAGGTGAATTTAATAGGGGACTGGACTGAGCAGCGGGAGGCAGAGGATTGAGTTAACCTTCTGGACTACTGGTTAGGGAGGCTCGGCTTCCAGGCAATCCTGTCTCCTGGCTTTCTGCTCTGCATGGCCCAGGGTGCCACTGCAGACTTGGGGGTGGGGTGGGGGGCACAGACCTGGACCCAGGGGCACTGAAGCTGGACTGGGTGAGGGTAACCGTGATGGGTACCTCCCAGCCCTGCGCGTGGATGCCACACTTTCACACTCGCTCACTGAGCCTGCAAGACAGCAGCCGCTGCCACCTCACAGACAGAGGAGAGAGCGGCTGACCCCCGTGTCACACACTGCTGCTCGCTGCTCGGTGGTGGAGGTGTCACTGAACTGGTTCTGCTTCCCAAGCAGACATCCCGCAGGCTTCAGGGGATGAGGAAGCCACACCGGGAAGGGCATACAGCACACTGGGGAAGGCTCAGCAGCCAGAAGCACCCATTTCTATCACCCTGCCTGTCTCTGAACCTTGTCGAGTGGGAGAATGAACCAGACTGGACTGGGAGTCTCGGCAGCCTCTGCAGTCACCAGTGACCCCTGGGCCTTGGGCACTCCCCACCCCCACTGCACAGAGCTCTCTGTCCTTCCATTAAAAAAAAAAAAATGAAAGTGCCCTGCAGGAAGGGACCTGCCAATCCAGAGTGTCTCCCCGCACCCGCCAAGCTGGAGAAGGCAGATGGGGGCAAGTTCTCACTAAGGAATGAATCAACAGACAGCTTACTTTACCCTTCAGACCTCAGTTTGCTCATCTGTCAAGTGTCCACGTGATGGCAGCCTGCCTGCCAGCCCCACAGGACGGCTCTGGGGATCCGAGAAGGGAAAGAGAAGTTCTTTACAAAGTTGGACTCTGAGCTGGGGGACGGGAGGCCGGGGGCCATGGTGGACTGAGCCCCCACTGTGGGCCAGGCACCCAGCACCCCAAAGGCCCATTGTCTCCTGGGACACCCCTCACCTTTCCAACCACCCCTGCCCCAGGTTCAGATGACAAACTGAGACCCAGAGAGGTGACAAGAATGCCAAAGTCACAAAACACAGAGTACAACATAGGACTGGAACTCTCGAGGCCCTGTCTCCCCGGCTGTGCTGTCACACACATTTACACACACACTCTCACTGGCTAACACGTATCTCCATGACCTAGCTGGAACTGGTGAATAGGGACTGCCAGGGGGAGGAGGAAAGGCACCCCATATGAAATGTGGAGGGCAGAGAAGATGCCCTATTAGGGCAGGATGCCTGCAGAAAAGGGGCTCCACATCCACTTGGGGCATCTGGAGAGGGACCCCTCACTCAGAGGCTCCATCCTCCTCCCCCTCTCACTGCTCACACATAGGGGATATGACCAGACTTGGCCGCACCCCCACACACACACACACTGACATAACACCCTCTGGCTGCTGGGGGTGACCCCTTATCACTGCCGTCCTAGTGACGTCACTGGCAGCCTGGAGCTGATGTCACACCCAGAGGTTCTCACTGACGTCACACCCACAGGCCAATGCTGATGTTATGCACACTTCTCCCTGAGACCCCCTCCCCTGCAATTACTCCTCTTTCATGCTGCCCAGCGGCAGATGGCCCAGAAGTCCCCACCCACGTACACAGCTCCAGGGGCACAGTTCACTCCGGACAGGCGTTTACAGGCAGGGCCTACGCGTGCATGCGCATGTGTGTGCATTCCCCATAGGACACACGTTTACACACATGAGCAGGCCCACGTGCCCTGCTGATGGCCTAGACACAACACGTCCCACAGGTGCTCGACAGACCACGGGAACAGGTGTGTGAGCCATGGACACACATGTACACAGGCAAATCCTCCCAGCCCCACCCCCACGATGCAGCTCCCTGTATGAAAATGTCCCTCAATGACTAAATCACTAAATCAGGCAGTCGGGGCTGGTGCCTTCTACCACATTCCTCCAGGTGTTGCCAGCACCCCCTCCTCCCCCCACCCCCACCCCACCCCAGCTTCCCTCTTCCTCCGACAGCCTGGCCTGATGACGGCAACAGCCGCAGACCGGACGCGCGCACACACAGTCCAGCCCAACACCTGTGTCTCGGCAAGGGGACCCGGGCCGTGTCCCCCAGAGGCAGCCACTGGGGTAGGAAGAGTTCAGAGGGAAGGGGCGCAGCGCTACAGAAAGTGCCCTCAAGTACTAAGCCTGATGTTCCTCCGAGGCTAAGCCGAGGGCCAGCACCACCAGCCCCTTCTGGTCTCTCTCCTTGGGCATGCCTGACACTCCGTGGCTGCTTCTGTCCTGGACACACGCCTCCCGAGTGCACACACATACACACATAACCAGCTCTGTCCCCTCCAGACATTCCAAGGAAATCCTGCTGGGCCACAGACAGTGTGTGTGTGTGTGTGTGTCCACCCTGCACACGGCCCTGTGTGCACACACAGGGCACACACATCCCTCCCCACGTGCACATAGCGCCCCACCAGCTAACACGCCCACCCCCCTGCCCCCCAGCTTTTGCCAGTTGCTGGAGTCCACACATGCAAACACACACACACACACACACACACACACACACACACACACACACACACGCAGCCCGGCAGTGGCCCTGGCCCTGCCAGAGCTGCAGTCTATGCCGGTCTCCCGTCTCCGCCGCTTCCCAGGGCTGCCTCCCTGCTTGCCCCGCACCAGCACCACGGAGAAGGGGGCAAAGCCTTTGCAAGGGTCCCCACCCACCCAGGGGACCCCACTCCCCGGATCTGGCCCTCACCAAACCCATCGCCCTCCTGCGGGTAAAGGGGTAAAGCCCCACCCTGCCCCCTCCCCCCTGGAGCAGCAGCCATCAAACCCCCCTCACCGGCTACGAAGATGAATTCCTCGGGCGGCAGCACCCCGTGAGAGGGGGACGAGGGCCCCCGATTCGCGAGGATGGGGGCTGAGAGGTGCGCTGTGGCTCTGCCCGGTACAGCCGTCCACCCTCGAGCCTCTGCACCACCCCCCGAAAATGCTCGCCTCACCGGCCGTCCTCCGCGTCCTCCCGCGCGCCTCCGCCCACCGCCCCCGGCACGCTCCGCGCAGGGGGGTCCCGGGGGGCTCGCGCTGGTGCCCAGACCCGGGAGCCCCTGCGGGCGGCTTTCCTGGCCTCATCCTCCGCCGCCGCCCCCCGCTGTGGCCCCCGCGGGCGCCACCCCACCGGCGGAGAGGGGTGCCCTCCGGTCCCAGCGCTCACTCCCTCCGCCGCGGCCGGCCGCGGGCGCTCGGGGCCGGAGGGATTCACTTACCTCCAGCCCGGCCGGGATCCGGGCCGAGCGCCGCTTCCGGAGGCGGCGGCGGCGGCTGCGGGGCCTGCGCGCGAGTGTGAGTGTGAGTGAGTGAGTGAGTGCGAGCGCGGGCGCGGGCGCGGGTGCGGGTGCGGGCGCGGGCGCGGGTGCGGGTGCGGGTGTGCGCGGCGTGGCCCGGGTGTGCGTGTGCGTGTGTGTGTGTCTGCGAGCCCGCGTGTGCGCGCAGACACCGCCGCCGCCTCTGCCTCGCGGGGGCCGCCGCCGGGGGTGGGAGCGCAGCGTGCGTCAGGGGCCGCGGCCGGCGGTCTGTCCGTCCGTCCGTCCGCAGGCGCGTCCGCAGCCAGACCCCGCCCGCCCCCTCTCCCGGCCCGATCCTTCCACGGACACGCGCGCACGCAGACACGCGGCCGCGGGGCGGGGGCCGCGCCCGGCTCCAACGCCGCAGCTGCAGCGCCCGGGGAGGCGGCGGCGGCGGCCGCGGGGACCGCCGAGCCCCCGCCCCGCCCGGCCCCCCGCCCCGCGCACCCCGCGGGCTCCGGGTCCCGCCGCCGCCGTCGCGGGCGCATTCAACAGCTGGAGGCAAACTTGCCGCGGGGCGAGCCGCCCGGTGCGCAGCGCCCCCCAGCGCCCGCCCGGGGACGCCCGCGGCCCCCCGACTCCCCCTGGGCGGCTGGACCCCTCCTCACCTCGTCCGGCCGCCCCGGGCCGAGCTCCGCGCTCCACCGCGGGCAACCCGCCAAGTGCGGCCGCTGCGTTCCCATTTGACGGGCGAGCCAACTGAGGCTCCCGGAGAGGAATGACTCGCCCAAGGTCACGCAGCGAGCTTGGCCGCAGAGACAGCCTTAGACTTCAGATCTCCACCCTTGCGCGGGGGCTCGGGGCTGCGGCTCCCTGCCCTTCGCCCCGGACCCCTGCAGACTTCTTAGGCCCTGGCCCCTCCCCGGCCGATGCCCCCACACACCTGGGCCACCCGCGAAAGGGGAGAAGCTAGGGGGAGGAGGTAGGAGATGCAGAAAGTTCTGGCATCGGGCCCTGTACGCCGGCACCTGGGCACACGAGCACCTCGTGGGGAGATTCGGCTTGTGCCCCTCAGACCCGAAGAAACAGGCGCCTTCTCTTGGCTCCCAGGACCCGCGAACCCACACGCTGAAGCCCCGTCTGGAGCAGGTCCTCTGTGTCTCCATCACTTCTATGGGACGCATGCGCCAGTGCCCGTCCTCAGGTGGTGCCCAGCAGACCTGAGGTCCGCGCTGCAGGAGGGCGGCAGGAGCGTCAGGAGCGTCCCGTCCAGGCCAGGAACGGCAGCGACTCCCCGGAGCCCCTGCCCGAGCTGAATCTCTGATGGATGAGTAGGAGGTGGTCAGCTGGAGAAGGTGGAGAGGGGTGTATCAGGCTGTGGGAACAGCCTGTGCAAAGGCACAGAGGCGTGAAACAGCCAGGTGTGTGTGTGCAGGGAACTCCACAGAGCCGGGTACCACTGGAGCGGCAAGACCGTCTGTTCAGAAATTCCTCCCTCCTTTAACTGAGAACAGGAAAGCAGGTCCAGGATGGGATCGGGAGGGCGGAGAAGAGCTGGGACGCAGGCACCTTTATCTCCCCAAGGAGGAGAGAGACAACAGAGCGTTGCACCTCTGCCCTCCCCAGCGGCACTGCAGGGTGCTCAGCGCACTCCTACCCACCCTTCAAGGCCCCTCACTGCAGATCCTACGAGTCACTATGCCGTCTCTGCCCTTTGAACTGAGCGCTCCTAGAGGGCAAGGGCTTCCAGGACGTTCCCCGCACAGAGCTGGGCGTGAAGCGCCCGGTCCTCCCCTCCCCGGCCAAGTCCTGGCGAGAAGAATCTCACCCTCCCCCCCACACTGCCTCGTCCACCTCAGGAGGCGACACAGCGGCCCCTGCGCCCTCTGGCGGGTGGAGTGCTCCACTGCACAGAGCTCCCCTGGTCACCCCGGTGACCGTGGCTCCAGCGTGCAGACCCTCCTAGCGGATGAGGCCCGCCTAACGCGCTCCGGCCCCAGAAACTGAGCCGGGATCTCAAGGAACACCGGGCAGCGGGCAGCCAAACAGCCTCTTCTGGTTCTGCTGCGTGACTCTCCCAGCCATCTGCCGAGGGGCAGGTCGCACCCCTCTCTGAGCCTGGTTTCCCTTTGGTGAAATGAGAGTAGCCAAAGCATCCCTGTCCTCATCACCACGCTGTGCTCGCTACGTGAGCACTGCCATCCCACCTGGGACCCCCAGATCTAGCTGACTTAGCTCTGGGGTGACTTCAGCTCTAAAATGTTCTAAGTGAGACTCTCTTCCTGGAGACTGCCCTTCCTAGGCCGACATGGGCTGGAAAGACTTTCAAACTCTTAACTTAGTCACTGCCACTAAATAGGAGATAGAGTTGGTCTGCCCCCCTCCCCCGGGTCATGGTGGCCCACACCATCTGGACACTTCACTGGGCTTTCTCTAGACCAGTACTGTCCAATAGAATTTTCTGTGATGGTGGAAGTGTTCTAGTTTTTTAAAGATTATTTGTTTATTTATATGAGAGAGAACACACGTGCAATGGGAGGAGTGCAGGGAGGAGCAGAGGGAGAGGGACAAGCAGACTCCCAACTGAGCATGGAGCCCGACGTAGTAGCTCAATCCCATGACCCTGAGATCATGACCTGAGCCGAAATCAAGAGTGGGATGCTCAACCAACTGAACCACTGAGGCACCCTTCCTTTCTTCCTTTTTCTTTTTTTTTTTTTTAAGATTTATTTACTTACTTATTTGAGAGAGAGATAACTAGAGATGTGGTGGTGGAAATGTTCTATCTGCACTGTCCAGCACAGTAGTCACTAAGAACATATGGCTGTTAAGTGCTCGAAATTGTGGCTAGTGTGGTCGAGCAGGAGCTGAATTTTAATTTTTGTTTTATTAATTTAGATTTAAACAGCTGTAGGTGGCTAGTCGCTATCATGTCCGATAGTGCAGGTCCAGAAAGACAGCAGCACCCTCACTAAAATAGAGGCCCATAGGGAGCACACACACACACACAGCACCCTGAGCATCCCGGCCGGACCAGGGAGCAGGGGTGATAAGGAGACTGTCTAGAATCTCTCTAGATGGACAGGTAAGGTTAAGACAAACGTGGGCAGCAATACGTCCATCCCCGTCGTCACTGTCCTAGATCAGGCCTTGCCATCTTTCACGTGGACACCTGCACTGTCACCTCATCATCACCCTCCAAGAGCTCCCATGCAGCAATGCGGTGTGTTCCATTTCTCATGACAATGCCATGGGATTGGCAGCAGCTGCCTGAGTGCTCCCTCTGCAGAAAGTGTCATGACCCACTGGTGATGTCTGCCTTCGGTGCAGACCGGGGACGAGTAGTATGTCCTCTCTGCCACGACATAAAACCCAAACTCCTTAACCTGCCCAGATCAGGCCCTTTGCAGTGGGGCCTTTATTTACCCCCCACCCCAGCATCTTCTCGTATCACCCCACACGTGCTCTGGGTCCCAGCAACACCAAGACCTGCCCTTTCCAGAACATGCCATGAAATCTTATAATCTCCATTCCATTTGTGCTTTTGACGCTGCTATTCCCTCAGCCCGGATGCCTTTCCTCCTCCCATATTACCTCTCTAGCTGTTCACTTCCAGTCTTTCTTCAGGTACTGCTCAAAGGCCACCTCCTCTGTGAAGCCTCCCCTGAGCACCCCTAAGCTGAGCTGGCCAAGTTACTTCTTCCTCCATTGGTTCCTGCCACACTCTGTGTAGGTCTGAATGACAGCAGTACTATTATTCATCCTCACGTGTGTCCTCCCCCAACTTACTCCTCACCCATCACCTCCATCATAGCAGCTACTGGATATGGTGGCTGACTCAGGACCAGACACTGTGCAGAGCGCTTTTGATCCATTATTCTCATTAATAAGTCACTGAAGTGGACATTAGGGGGCTTTTGTTCTGGGCACCCAGCATCTATCTCCCTTCCCACCAACACTACAATCGCCTCTCTCCCCACCTACGTGTGTGTATGTGTGTGCGTGCGTATGCAGTCTTGGTGGAACGCGAATCAGAATGCCTGCCCACCCACCCCCACCCCCGCCCCTGCTGGGCTCGTTGAGCCCTCGTAGGTGGAATGATGTGTGGACAGGAAAAACCACCGAAGCAGAACCATCCCAGAAGCCTTCATGCCAGATGACAGGCAGGTATTTCCAGCTGCCTGGACCCCTGTCCTGAATCCCAGATCCCATGCGTTCTGGAATCTCCCAGTGGTGCTGGTGAGCTGCCTCTAAGAGCCCACCCACGAGCACCCCTTTCCCCTGAGTTGACCAGACATGGATCACACCCAGATGAGCCCACTGCCCTGGCCACATGGCCACAGGGACATTTTTCCAGAAGCTCTTCCTTTCTGCAGGGCTTAGAGAGTGGAGCAGTAAGTTCCGGAGGAACCCAGGAATGCTAACAGCTCCCCGCGCTGTCTAAAGTGAACCATGAGATCTACCCTTTGTACTTAGATGAATTGTTTTTCACTTGGTCTATGTGGCATTTTGAGTTGATTAAGAAGATTAGGTTAAGATGCTTTTAGTGAAACATACAGATACCAGAGTGTGTATGAGGTGTCACATTCCTGTTTTGGATCCAAACCAAAAATCAGCTTTTTCTGCTGTGCCTCTGCTGCTGGAATTAAGGCTACAATCACAAGAGACAAGAACCAGTGATGAGATGCAGGACCCCCCAGAAGGGAAAACCTGAAGCTTCCCCACCCCCAGATCTCTGCACCTTGCCCACCACAGAGCCATCCCAGGGGAATATGATGACATGGAGACCGAGCTTCTGGGGAAGGGCGGGGGCGGGGGGGTCCTTTACATGGGAGTGTTTTGTTTTGCTGGCACTATAACAGGTCACAGAATGCAAAGTTGAAGGCAGGGCAAATTCCCAGGCCTAATAGGATGAGAGGATTTGGGGCTGGTCAGGAGGAAGGAGTGATGCAGGGAAGCCCCCAGAGAATGGACTTTGGAGAACACACACACTTCCCAAAGGGATTCTTAAGTCATTTTGCTGTGGAGTGTACAGTATAATCCCCCTCCCCACTTCATCCTCCCTAAACCCCTTCCCTTCCCTGCTTCCTTTAGGAAAGTCTACATGCTTATCATATTAGTCATCTGTGGCTGTGTAACACAGTACCTCAAAACCCAGTGGCTTATATCAGCCAAAACAAAACAGAACAAAAACCCAGTTATTATTGCAATGTTGCTGAGGTCAGGAATTTAGGAGTGGGTGATTCTTTTTTTTTTTTTTTAAGATGTTATTTCTTTATTTGACAGAGCAAGAGAGGGGGAGCAGCAGAGGGAGAGGGAGAAGTAGACTTCCTGCTAAGCAGGGAGCCCCACACAGGGCTGGATCCCAAGACCTTGAGATCATGACCTGAGCCGAAGGCAGATGCTTAACCTACTGAGCCACCCAGACACCCCCTGGAGCAGGTGATTCTTGCTTGAGAAATCTCCAAAGAGTGAGTCGGGCTGTTGGTTGGGGCTGCATTCATCTGAAGGCTGGGCTGGGGCTGGAGAAGCTCCTTCCACAGTGGTTCATCCACGTGGCTGGCAGGTGGCGCTGCTGGTGGGGGGAGGCCTCAGTTTGTGCTGCGTGGACCTCCCAACAGGACTGCTTGCGCATCCTCCCAGTATGGCGGCCGCTTCCCCCAGAGCCAACAAAGAGGAGGCCACAGTGTCTTACATGCCCCATCCTCCAAAGTTACACATTCTCAGTGTTTGCAATTTCCTACTGGTTACATAGGTCTGCCCTGTTCCCTGTGGGAGAGAACCTCACAGGATATGAATTCCGGGAGGAAGGTATCACCGGGGGCCATCCTGGGAGCCCATGGGCTTGAGGTCAATCAATTATATTGGGGGAAATTCAGAAAGTTCTGTGTCTGCATCCAGACTAGCAAAGGCGAAAACAGAATTAAGAGTATGGATACTGGAGCTGGAGAACCTAATTCCATGGAATTTGATGATGCTGAGAGTCTAGAGTCCTCATATCCATGAATCAAGGGCAGCTCAAGGCTAGTGGGGCAGGAAGAATGTACATAAAGTTCCTGATGAGGCCAGACGGGAGGCTGGCTGGGTGTTGGCCCCCAGGAGAGGGTGCCTATGAGGGCCAGAGAGCAAGGCTACCTCTGGGGGATATTTTGAAGTGTCCATGGGGATACCCTTTGACCCACAGATCTAGTTATGGGAGGGCCCCCAGGGAAGTTCCTTAAGGGTGCTAACTGTACCCTACCTGCCCAGCTTGGAGCAGAGATCCCTAGGTGGCGAGGTTGACCAGCCTGCCTCCCCACCATCTTGGTAAAGCAGACCTGGAGGGCACCCTCAGACAGGAAGGGAATGAGAGCCCCTCTGTGGGTCTACCCGGTGTCTCCCCTGGAAGATGAGCAGCTCCCAGCTCCCAGATCCAGCCACATCTGACCCGATCTGTATCCTGGGTGCCCAGCCACTCACCAGGCACAGAAGGAGTGCCCCTGGAGGGCCCTCATGAGCTGCCCAAGCCGGTAGCACAGGGGTGAGACTGAAGCCTTCTCCAACACAGGTAGGGTCTGCATGCATGGGACAGACGGGCTCCCCAGCCTTTGGAGCCAGGGGTCATTTCTGAGACACCCCCCAGGGAGACCTGGGAGGGGATGAGGGGCTCAGGCACTGCATTTACCTGGTCTTTGTTGCCCACTAGCAAGAGGCTGCGGAGCCCCATGCTGTCAAGGTGTCTGCCGTTGGGATCTAAGCACCCTTACATGGGGCCTCAGAATTCTCCTGTCCAGGGACCTCACTGGCGCCTCAAGCCTGGGCCGCACAGCTGTCGCAAGGGGGTGGCATGTGTCTCAGCTGGCTCAGCGGCCACAGGGTCAGCCAGGCAGCCTGCGTTATTAAACCATCTATCTGGCTCTGCCCGGAGGGATGCTGGGGGTGAGGGCAGAGTCACTTCTACTGCCTGGGTCTGGAACTGGGGCAGCCGTAGGCCCCGGGAGGCTGGAGGTCACCAGCCTCGTGGCCTGGCTCGCCCCCGCTGACCTGCTGCCGGCTCTGAGGCTCAGATTGCTGCAGGGACTGGAGAGGTGCTGACTGGCTGGTTTCCTTGTGTTCTTTCTCTGCTCGAAAACTTCCAGGCTCTGACTCCATGGGGTGACGCGCCAATTCCTTACGCTAGCATCTGGGCTTTTCTGCAACCTGGCCACCTTCTACCTAGAATCATAATCATAGCGCGACATGGGGGCGTTTACTATTTCTTTCAGGCTCGATGCCAAGTGTTTCCCATGAATTAAAGTCTCAGTGAACGATGACAACAACCTCACGAAGTACTCAGTGTTATTAATCCCATTTTACTGGTGAGGCTCAGAGGTGCTAAGCAATTTGACCAAGGCAGCACAGAGAGGAAGGAGCAATGCCACGACCACCCAGGTTGTCCTGTTGATGAAGCCATGCTGTACCCTCAGGAGTCTTGGGGTATTTTAGGCTGGTAACCCCATTCCTAGCCTTTATACTTACTGTTCTCTCAGTCTAAAATCTGGGTGTCAGAAGGTCCCTGTGGGCGGGAGACTAGCTGTGTGTTCCCAAGGCTCTGTGGGGAATGAAGGGTATGTGGCTGGTATTGGCTTACTGAGACCAAAACCAGATGCCACCTTGATGCCGCCTGGGCTCCCCACAAACCTGATCTATCAACAACTCCTGTTAACGCTGCCTCCGAAGTGTACCCTAAACCCAGCCCCTGGCCTCCCTGTCTCCCCCACGCAAGCAAAGGCAAGATCCATCCTCTTCTCTCTCTTCATTCAGAAGCTCTCATCCAGGGGCTCCTGGGTGGCTCCATCGGTTAAGTGTCTGCCTTCAGCTCAGGTCATGACCCTGGGCTCCTGGAATCAAGCCTCTAACCTCGCTTAGGCTCTCTGCTCCAGGGGAGCCTGCTTCTCCCTCTCCCTCTGCCTGCCACTCCCCCTGCTTGTGCTCTCTCTCTCTCTGTCAAATAAATAAATAAAATCTTTTCAAAAAGAAAGAAAGAAAAAAGAAGCTCTCAGGCAGTAGGCACTCCAAAAACGTTTGTGGAATAAAACGATCAGGTTCACGCCTGAGGGAACAAATGAAAGCAGGAAGAGGAAGCGGAACAGGAAAGCAGACGTGTGGGAGAGCAGGAAGGTGAGCAAATTCAGTCCTGCCCTGGGCACCGGGGGTGGGGGCTCTGGGCGAATGGGAAGTGTGCGCAGGAAGAGACGCCCCAGCTCCCTGCCAGCCTGGCAGGTGCACAGGGGCGTGTGGGCAGCACACCTGGAAGGAACGGGGCCCAGAAGCATGACATGGCCAGGACGACAGGGGGCAGCTGAGCCCCTGAAAGGCAACCCAGGACCCCATTCCATCCCTCCGCGGGCCCTACAAAGGTCCTCCCCAGCCCAAGGCCAGGTGCCTGGGCAAGGTGGCGGCGTGCCCTCTGTACATCCCCTGGACTCTCCTGGTGGTGTCTCCCTCCCTTCCTGGCCCACAGCCCCGACCTCAGATAAAAGAGCGACTGCTGCCCTTGCGCAAGCACGCAAACCCTTCTGATTGCTCTACCCATGGTTTCCCTCAGGCTTCTCCCAAATCTCCTGCTCCCCGGCCCCCTCCTGCTTGGGTCCCCTGGAACCAGGTCCCTGGAGCCACATCATTTTATCCTCAGAACAAGCACTAGACAAGCCTCAGCATCCCAAGGCCAGCGACATTTGGTTTCACCTGGATCTGGTCTGGCTGGGCCGGTGTGGGCTTGTCCCTCTATTTCCACAGAGGAAATTTCCTCTTCCCTGGTGCCCAGAGTCCAGTCAGCAGCACACTCAGCTCCCAGCACCGAGAGGAGGAGCCCCCATGCCACCCCGCACACCCCAGGGCCTGGAGGTGGGAGGGTATGTGAAGTCAGGGGGCTGTGTGGGAGCCAGGCGGGCAGTGAGGCCCGTGTCAGGGCCACAGCAGAATAGGCTGGAGTTAAGGGCAGGGCCCAGACTCCCTGAAGAAGATCCCAATACCCTTCACCATTTATGGGGGGAAGGGGTCCCATACCCTGTTGGAGACAACCCGTCATATCCTCACAACAACTTGAGAGGAAGGTATTAATCAGGACTCATGGGTTGTAAGTGACAGAAACCCAACTCGGGCCAGCTTGAACGGGTTTAAACTCCAGAGAAGATTTACTGGGTCCCATAACAGGACAAGCTGGGGAGGCCCTGCCTCAGGAAGACTGGGAGGGAGGAGGAGGCCACCTTGATGCCATCAGCTGTCTCTCTGTCTCTCTCTCACTCTCACTCTCTCGCTCTCACTCCCCCTCCCTCTCTAGGTGGCTTAGCTCTTCTGGGCCATAGTCTCCACTGCAGTGAAGCCAGGAGCACCCACAGCCCCAGCTGACAGCCTCCCAGATTCACAGGAAGACTGAGAGAGCATTGCCTCCTGTTCCAAGCTGAACAATTCTAGGGAAGGGCTCTGATAGGCCCAGCCTGGGTCACCTGCTTACCCCCCTGGACCAATCACTGCGGCCAGGATGTTGAGGGCAAATTAATGGTCCAGCCTGGGTCAGGTATCCCCACCCTTGTCACCAGGGTGGAGGGGGGCTCGGTCAGCAGAAGAATGGAGCAGGAACACTGAGCACACAAAAGCAATAAACAGCGATTGTTTTTCTTTTTTTTTTTTTTTTAAGATTTTATTCATTTATCCATGAGAGACACAGAGAGAGAGAGAGGCAGAGACATAGGCAGAGGGGGAAGCAGGCCCCATGCAGGAAGCCCGATGTGGGACTCGATCCCGGGACTCCAGGATGACACCCTGAGTTGAAGGCAGATGTCCAACCGCTGAGCCACCAGCATCCCAAGCAGTCGTTTTTCATGACCAACTTATTTGGGAATAATTTTAGGTTTTGAGAAAAAAGGCAAAGGGAGCCCAGGAGAGTTTGCCTGTGTACCCTTCACCCAGCTTCTGGTAAGGTTAACATCTTACGTAATAACCACAGGACATTTGTCAAAATTAAGAAATAATAATAATAAATAAATAACAATAAACTCTAGGTTTCGCTTAGATCTGCCCATTTGTCCACTAATGTCCTATTTCCGTTCTAGCACCCTATCCCTAACACCACTTAGCATTCAGTCACCCCATCCCCTGAGTCTCTGCTGCTCTATGACAGGTTCTCATTCTTCCCTTCCTTTGCATGGCCTTGGCAGATTCGAAGGGTACCAGTCAGGGATTCTGCGACATTCCTGACCCCTTGGGGTTTATTTCATGTTTTCTCCCATCAGGGATCATGGGACGAGGGGGAGAGCATAGAGCTGGGATGGCCTTGTCATCACTGTGTATCCGGGGGTACACGGGATCCACATGACTGGTGATGCCAACCTTGATCACTTGAATGAGTTGGGGATTTACTCCCATTTAAAAGACACGGAGACTGAGGCTCGCAGAGGCTGAGCTGCTTGCTTTAGAGCAAGTGGCAAGGTAGAATGTGAACCAGGGGATCCCTGGGTGGCGCAGTGGTTTGGCGCTTGCCTTTGACCCAGGGCACGATCCTGGAGACCCGGGATCAAATCCCATGTCAGGCTCCCGGTGCATGGAGCCTGCTTCTCCCTCTGCCTGTGTCTCTGCCTCTCTCTCTCTATCTCTCTGTGACTATCATAAATAAATAAAAATTTAAAAAAAAAAGAATGTGAACCAGGCCTGTCCGACTCCCATTCTCCCACAGTTCCTTGGAGTTTTAGACAGGGAAACCGAGGCAGGAGCCCAGCTCTAGGGGACGGGAAAGTGAGAAAGACTGTACCGTGGAATCTGCTGTGAGGTTTGCAGCAAGAGGACAGAGCCCAAAAATTCCCCTTGCGGGTGTGAGGCCCTGTGCTAGGATCGACCCGGGAGCCTGGAAGCCACTTTCGAGATAGTGATACAGGACATGATAGTATGGGGTCCTTCAGGGCGAGGGTGACAGCACAGGTCACATGCCCATGAAGCTGACCCAGTTCCCAGCCCTCAATGACCACGCTGACCTTGGGATCTGACGACCATATTTTCTCTGCAGTTCCTTGGCCCTTAATCACAAGCTGCCTACTGGCTCCGCTGGAATCATCTATCGAGCACTTGCTTTGCTCTCACGTGGTTTATCCTCTGTCTTGCCCTGGGTGGGAGGTTGCATGAGATGAACTCCAATGTGCTTCCAACAGTTAAATTTGATGTCATTTAATTTTATGGCTTTAATATTTTGTGTGAGGAAGCTTCTGAGCTCCTATGCCTGAGATACTACAAGTTGAGGGGTCAGGGAGAAGGACCTCATGTGGTCTCAAAATCCTGACATCCCCGGGCAGGGTGGAGGTTTTAGAGGAGAAAATAACTGTCAGAAGACTTTCGCTCACTCGCACTTTGTAAATTTGAAGTGTAAAATTAATCAAGATTTTTGTAGAAATCACCGGGTTCTTAAAAGTGGTGATATGTTTTCCGAAGTCCATCAGTCAGTGATGGAGGTTCCAAAGGTAGCAACCTTCCCTCGACAGGACGCTGTTAGCCTGGCTGGCACAATTTTTACATTTTTTTTTCAATTTTTACATTTTGTGCATTACTACTCATTTGTTTCCTTTTCTTCCCCCACCCCCTTATTGTCAAGAGGCGGAATGTTAGAAGCAGCCTGCCTGCACACGGCTCTTACCTCTGCCATGAAAACGTATGCAAATGGCCAAATCTCTCTCGGGTTCAATTTCTTTAACTAAAAAT